TTTCTAACTGTCTATCCCTCTCCCTTCCTCTCTGTAAAAAAATCAATAAAATATATTTTTAAAAAAATAATAATAAAAGGCTGAAACCTAAGTACTGGTGATAGGCCACTTGGGGAAATAGCCTGGTCATTTCTCACCCATAACCCAGCCATTTCACCCATGAGCATTTACTGGGTGGAAAGGGGATATACTCATTAAAAGACATGTGCAAAAAGACACAAAAAAGCTTTATCCATGATAGTAAAAAACTGGAAATAACCCAAATGTCCACCAACAGGTGAAATGGACAAATAGTGAATAATTGGTACCAGGTTGTTACAATAAGAAAAAAACATACCCACATATTTGCAAGGATGTGGAGAGATTGGAACCCTCATAAACTGCTGATGGGAATGTAAAATGGTGCAGCTGCTGTGGAAGCAGTCTAGCAGTTCTTCAAAAAGCTAAACATGAGCCCTGACATGTGACTCAGTTTGTTGAGCATCGTCCTGTCCCATGCACCAAAACGTTGCAGGTTTGATTCCCAGCCGGGGCACATGCCCAGATTCTCTCTCTCATGTATGCTTCTCTCTCTCTAAAAAAAGAAAGATCAATGAAGACATTTTTTTAAAGCTAAAGACCCAGCAATTCCACTGCTAGGTATAGATCCAAGAGAATGGAGAGCTGGTACTCAAAGAAACTTATTCAGAGCAGCTCTATTCACAATAGCAAAATGGTGGAAACAACCCAAATATTCACTAATGGATGAATGGATAGACATACTGTGTGGATAACCATCCATACAAGGGAATGAAGTATGCTACAACATGGATGAACCTTGAAAATATTATGCTACCTGGAGAGCATTATGCTAAGCAAAATAAGCCAGTCAGAGAAAGATAAATATCACATGATCTCACTCATTTGTGGAATATCATGAACAACATAAACTGATGAACAAAAATAGCCAAAGGACTTGTATGCATGCATATAAGCATAACCAATGGACACAGACAGTAGAGGGGTGAGGGCATGTGCTGGGGCTGGGAGTGGCCAGGGAGAGGTTAATGGGGGGAAAAGGAGATATATGTAATACTTTAAACAATAAAGAATTAAATTTTTTTTAAAAAGAAAATATTATGCTGAGTGAAGAAAGCCAGATAGAAATGGCCATACATTGCATGAAATGTCCAAGACAGGAAAACCCATAGGGACAGAAAGTAGATTAGGGGTTGCACGTGGCTGGAGGGAAGGGGGAGGGGGAGTGACTGCTGATGGGGACGAGGTCTCCTTTTTTCTTTTTTTTTAATCCTTACCCAAGGATATACTTTTTAAAAACCTGATTTTAGAAAGAGAGGGAGAAGGAAAGAAAGAGAGAGAGGAACATTGATGTGAGAGAGAAACATCAATTGGTTGCCTCCCAATTGGGGTTCAAACCAATTGAACCCTGTTCTCTGACCAGGAATCAAACCCGGTGCACGGAATGACGCTCCAACCAACTGAGCCACCACCAGCCAGGACGAGTCTCCTTTTAAGGGTAGATAAGTGTTATGCAGCTAGATATTCACACAACATTGTGAATGTGCTAAATGTAACTGAATTATACACTTTAAATGGCTAAAATGATGTTATATGCTATATGTAGTTTACCACAATATAAAAATAAAAAATAGTACCCGGGACTATTTTGATACCGGACACAACAGGTGTGAAGCTGCCTGTCACTCCGAGAGTCAAATTAAGCAGAGACAGGGTTAAACCATGTCTGAGCATTTATCCCAGGAAGGCCAGGAGCATGTGGAGAGCAGTCAGTCAGCCTGGAAGTTCTGCTCTGACATTTCATTTTAAACAAGCTCTTATATAAAAATCTAAAGTTAGTGAGTTCCCAGGGTCTGCCTTTGCAAAGATCAGCCCCAGAGAGCTGCAAAGATTAGCCGGGAACACCGTCTCCCTTCAGATAGCTTCTGTCCTTGACCTGGGCTTTGGGCTGCCTTATCTCCAGGGCCTGTTCTCCTTCTGGGAACACGTCGTTCAGTTTCCCAGGGTCTGTAAGAAAGTCTCTCATCCTTAGTTAGTGAGGTGAGTAATGATTGAACAATCGTGGTCTTATTCTTATTACGTGCCCTTCCCACCTCTCAATTCCACAGCCATGAAAAGGTTCAAACACCTGCAGGAGGAGCGAGTGCGACCCCATTTCTGTGAAGTTCAAAACCAGGTAAAATTCACCTGTAGTGACAGAGGTCATGGCAGTGGTCACCTGGAGGAAGGAGAGAATCAACTGGAGGATCCAAGCAACTGCCAGGGCTGGGAAATGTCCTAGATCCCATCCTGAGAGCTGTCCCCCACCAAGCCCCACTCCTGACACTGGTGAACTTGACTAAGCCCATGTTAAAAACAAAAAACTTACCAGGGGAAAAAATGAGAGCGTCCAGCAGTCATGAGGACCCAGGGTTCCATTTCTTCACAAATGCCATCACCTGACCCCTGGTGACTTTGAAACAGGCATGGAGCTGGGTGGGCCTGGACAAAGGTAGGAGGGAAGTGACCTGCATCTGGTTCTCGGGATTTCAGAAATGATCCCCAGATGCCTCTTCATCTCTAGGGAGATGCCACACCAGAGTCCCCAGCCTGGGGACAGGAAAACCTCAGGGCTCCAGGACACTAGAAATATCAGAGGTCGCCTGGCTGGTGTGGCCTGGTTGGTTGGGCGTCGGCCCAGGCACCAAAAGGTTGCCCGTTCAATTCCCAGTCAAGGCACGATCCCTTCCTCTCTCTCTCTCTCTAAAAAATAAATATCTTAAACATAAAAAGAATATCAGAGGTCTGTGGGGGCACTCTTCCCTCCCAATCAGAGTCTCTGGTGGAGACACATCTTGACGACTCAGGGTCCTTTAAGGCCAACTAGCACATGAAGGAATAAATGAATGAATGATGAATAGTGGGCCAATGGGCTTTTCATCCCTGTCCCACAGGGATTTCAGAAATGATCCCCAGATGCCTCTTCATCTCTAGGGAGATGCCACACCAGAGTCCCCAGCCTGGGGACAGGAAAACCTCAGGGCTCCAGGACACTAGAAATATCAGAGGTCGCCTGGCTGGTGTGGCCTGGTTGGTTGGGCGTCGGCCCAGGCACCAAAAGGTTGCCCGTTCAATTCCCAGTCAAGGCACGATCCCTTCCTCTCTCTCTCTCTCTAAAAAATAAATATCTTAAACATAAAAAGAATATCAGAGATCTGTGGGGGCACTCTTCCCTCCCAATCAGAGTCTCTTGACAACTGACTTGTCACATCTTGACAACTCAGGGTCCTTTAAGGCCAACTATCACGAATAACTCACAGCCTTGAGCAAAAGGAGGAATAGAGATTTCAGCCAGAAAGTCCTGGGTTTGTGTCCTGACCCAATCAATAAACACACATGAAGGAATAAATGAATGATGAATGGTGGGCCAATGGGCTTTTCATCCCTGTCCCACAGCCTTTCTCATACACTTCCTAGGTGCCCAGCCTTGTCCTGCAAAAGACCAGAGCCCCAGAGAGGCCTCAGCCTTGTCTGGCCTCCAACAAGCTCTCATCTCAGTGAAGAAGACAGAGCCTGACACAGAAAATCCCACTTTCATGATTGCTCAGAGCAATAATAATAATAATAATAATAATAATAATAATAAATCATGAGGGAGGTATCGGAATAGAGGAAGTATGCCAGGGCCAAAAAGAAAGAGAGAGGAAGTAGAGTGCCAGGACGTTAGATGGTATGTGGCCAGTGACTGTTACCCACTGACCAGGGAGGAAGTTGGGGTGAACAACTCAAATAACGAAGAGTAACGGGGTGAGGGACGCTGGCTGATCCTGCTTCCAAGACCTTTTCACTTGATTTCTTTTGTAAACCTCCAGAGATGGGAGCTCACTCCCAAGGCAGATAGCATGGCATGCACACCTGTCAGATGTTTAATGCAATGTGGTTTTTCAAGTAGTGACTGCCATAGGTACAAGGGCTGAATGAGATTGTTTGGGGTGTGTGTGGCAGGGGATGCCCTTGTGAGCTGGGCAGTCAGTCCCTGCCACGGGCTGTATCTGGAATCAGACCCACCTGAGTTCGAATCTCTGACACTTATTGGCCTGATGACTTCATTTCTCCAAGTCTCGGTTTTCTTTTTCCTCTGAAGTGACCCGAACAACAGCATCTACCTCGGAGGTTCGTGCATGTATTCAATGAGCTAATGGAACAAAATGCCGGGCACACAGCAGGCGCAGAAGTATTTTGCTCTGCTCCAGGCCAGAGGGCTCTGGAATGTGTCCCAAACACACTGTACTTTGCTAACTCTAAAAAGCGTTGCACGTTCTCACTTCTGCACGTGCTCTTGCCCCACCACCCACACCTGGCAAACTCTGATATATCCCTCAAAACCCTAGCTACGAGATACATACCTCCCTTCCTTCCTCCCTTTCTTCTTTCTTTCTTTCTCTCTCTCTCTCTCTCTTTCTTTTTCTTTCTTTTCTTTTTTTAAATTGTTAACACTTATTACAGCTGTCCCCCGTTTTACAAAATACCTTTCTCTTCTCTGTTCAAGCCCCGACCCAGGGAGCCGGGAGCGTCAGGGCGCGGTTCTGATTGGACCTGCGGTGATGTGACTGCCGAGGGCAGCGGTTCTGACGGGCAGAGGCAGGCCTGGGCGGACAGACTGGTGCATCCTTGCAGACCCAGAAGCCGGCACCAGCTCCCATGACTTCAAGGGGCCAGCAGGGGGCAGACCGTGGGCCGGAGGGGGACTTCCGGCGGGTGGTCAGCATTTCCGGGAAAGCCCCTTTAAGGGGCGGGCCG